ACCATGATTCATTTTTCAGGATTCTTTGAGGAATAGAAAGTAAAACTTTTTTTCGCTTTTTTTTAAATAGAACTGTGTACTTTCACATCTAATCAACTTAAAGTAGTTCACTCTTGAAAAAAACAAATCTTTTTCCGAGTCAATTCGTTCGTTTCGTTCGTTGAATGAACCAAATGACTCGGATGAACGAGTTCAAACAGGAGAGTCAAGAACGTACATCACAGAACAGAGCAAGGCGACCATTTGAGCTTATAAAACTTAAACTTTGATATTTATTAAATGAGCGATCGTTTCGCTTGATAAGACCCCTGTTTATCGTCTGGAATCTTTTAAAGCCCTTTGAACAGTTTGCAGTTTGCACTGAAACTGTCTTTTGGAACTTGAACCATTTGGTTCCCACTGAAGTGCATTATATGGAGAAAAATGCTGGAATGTTTTCATCAAAAACCTTATTTTCTTAATTTCGACTGAGGCCACGTTTACACAAAGCTGGGTATTTAGTGAAACGAATATTTTCCCTCTCTTCGTTTTCAAAAATAACATCGTTCACACACCCGCATAAATACGCCGTCGAGCGCCATCATAACTATGCCAAACCTATTGACGGCAGTGTAGGGAGAAGGATAAAGCCAATCAGAATCCTCAGAATCGACAAAAGAGAACCTAACACACCGTTTCTCCCACGACAACGCATAACCGGCGTTTTCAGAAATCTCCACTTTGGCCGGAGTTTTTTAAAATAATCGTTTTCTGTGATAAAACGGGGGTTTTCGTGTAAACGAGAGGCCAGTCCGCAGGGAAATATCTGCGTTTTCCCTTCGTGTAAATGGGGCCTGAAGAAAGAATGACCTGGACATCTTGGATGACATGGGGGCGAGTAAATTATCAGCAAAAGTTTTTTCAAAAGCGAACTACTCCTTTAATGCAGTCTTAATGAATAAAAGTATTAACTTCTGTAAAGAAAATCTTACTGACCAAAACTTTTGAAACGTATACCCATTACATGCAAATCAATAAACCAACAATGCAAAAGTAAAAATTAAACAAACTAACCATTAAACCAAATCCCCGAGTAACAAGCAACAGAAGGTTTTGATTTACATAACGCACTAAAGTTTCCCTGATTATAGAATACAGCTTAGGTGTTTATATGACACTGATGATTATTAAGCCTAATAAACATTCTTATTTTTGCACTGTCAGCCATCCCTCCCAATGCAAATAAAAAAAAATAATGCTTTGATCAGTTGATCAAGTGTTTGTTGGTCACTATCTTGGTAGGGAATATAAACTGTGGCATAAAGAGAAAGAGACCGACTGAGATTAGTTCACAGATCACCATATTTCCATAATCAGTCTGATACGAAGCCGTGGCAGACACTATGCAAACACCCCGCCACGGCTCTTTCCTCTTTGGCTTTTTCATCTGACCCATTTGCAAAAACACTCACAGATTTGAACAATAACTTATATAAAGGCATATAAACATGGAGGTTATTTTTAACTCTCTTCCGTAAGAGACAAAGATCCATGGATGACATGCTATCAGATTTCGCCATCGCCGGCAAACTGCTTTTATCTGTTTCATTACTTTTCTTCCCTTCTGTTCTCAGCCAATGTTTATTATAAGCTCCACTGCACGCGATGATGTCTCTCTCTGGATATTGACCTCTGCTGCTCTGCCACACAAAACATGGACACTTTTGTCTAGATACATTCGATATCTTTGCTATGAAGGAGTTGGTAAAACAGAAATATTTCTAAAGTGACAATCGTTATCAAACCGCATTTCATCCCATCTCGGATTGTTGCCAAGGTTTGAAGATTTTCTAAGTTCCCACAGTGGCGTTTGTAAACTCAAAGTCTGCCATGTGAAATGTTTGTACATTTAACAGACACAAGCATACAAGTGTGACATTCGCCTATGTTTGCAAATAGAGGAGATCTACAAGTAATTCACTAAAGTTGGTGACAATAGTGTAAAATAAAATTATAATCATGCCTGTATTATGCTATTTTAAAGGTTCCTAATTTTCTTTTGGAGGTAGCCTGGCTAACGGGGAACCAAATGTTAATTTTCTCGTATTTGAGGCATGGTTTACGAATGCCCAGATCTGTTTATTGCGTGCCACAAATGTCTATCAAATGCTCCTGTACGTAGCTCATAGCCAATTGGTTCAATGATACCAGATGACGGACAAGAACGGCTGGACTGAAAAATGTCAAAATTGAAAATACTGTGGAAACAAAGACACCTACATCTTGGATGCCCTTGAGGTAAGCTAAAACATTTTAAAAAATGTATTTCAAAGTGAACTATCCCTTTAAGTATAGTACAGAATCAAATGTTTCTTTTAGGAGACAATAACTTTGTCACACACATTGATCTTTAAAACTTTGCAGAGCTTTTACATTCACAAACAGCTCAAAAAAGTATAAGATGATCTGCAATCTTTATGCTTGGGTAAAATCATCTATAACGATGTTCTCAGTCTTCAAAAACACATTATTCATCTATTACATCCTGATTTGTTTTTGTAGCATCTAGTGTAGATCACAAAATATGTTGAAGCAAAAGATACATCTGTTTCTGACAGATCATCCCTCTTCTTTTTCTTTGTAGTGCCTCATTTGGGGACACAGGACAATTTTCTGTTCTGCTAAAAACAACATGCAAATGTGAAGCCTGATCTTGATAGCATCATCTCTTTCCTTCTCTCTAACACGCGCGGAAAGCTCAAAACTACACAAGTCCTTCAACCACACACTGGTGTTAGGATACATGTGGTCAAGAAAGGATAAGGACATATCAATATATACAAACACACTTGGGACAATAATTCTAAAAAATAAATAAATCTGTATTTCTTACCTGATTGTGTCCTTTCCTTTTTCCGTAGATCTTTGTCAATGAATTTGAACTTTTCAACTTATGAATTCATGTAAATCAGGGGTCTTGATGGGTCCACAATTCACAGCAGCATGGCAGGGTTTTCTTTTTTAAACAAAAACACAATACTTAGTTAACTTTAATCAATGGTAAACTTATCAAGCTAAACCAAATGCTTCACTGAATCTTCCACATTAAAATGTATCAACTAAAATTAGGAAATGTACACACATACGATGCATCAATCATCATAAACCTTAACTGAATTTGAAAGTATCGTATGCTCACCAAAGCTGCTTTTATCAAAAATACAGTACAATCATAGTATTGTGAAATATTATAATAAAAAAAAAAATCAGCTTTAATTCATTCCAGTGATGGCAAAGCTGAATTTACAGCAGTTATTACTTCAGTCTTTAGTGTCTTTCATCCTTCAGAAATCATTCTAATATGCGGATTAGATGCTCAAGAAACACTTTTTTATTAGCAATGTTGAAAACAGCGCAACTTAATAATTTTATAGAAACCTTGTTCGTTTTTCCAAGGATTATTTGATAAATAATCATTAATCGGAAGATCTTTCTGTAACAAAGTAAACATCTCTACTCTAAACTATTTAATGTCCTTGTTGTATAAAATAAATAAATAAATAAATAAATCAACTTACCCTAAACTTTTTACATGGTATTTGGTTCAATATGCATGTTTATTATAGGTCCAGCGTTTCATTAAGTAAAATGAAACACTGAGTTTTACAATGGCGCAGTGGATAAGACACATGCCTTTGGTGTGAGAGACCCAGGTTCGAATCCACTGTGAGACACTAATGTGTCCCTGAGCAAGACACTTAACCCCTAGTTGCTCCAGAGACGTGCGACCTCTGACATATATAGCAATTGTAAGTCGCTTTGGATAAGAAAACTCTCCAAGAGGACTGGATTACCAGATTCCCTTACCATGGGTTATGACGACAAAAGGATAAGTCATTCAAGCAAGTCCTTTATCTTGGGTCGTAAGAATAAACAATTCATCTTCAGTTTTACATTTGGCTCAACAGGGTCATAGCTGCCAGAACTTCCGAACTTTGCCATCGGTCCCGGGCCGTGAGGGAGGGAGACGGGCGCTGAGACCAGCAGTAGGAGGCAGGATTCATCATCCGGTTATAAGCTGGCACTGCTCGGTTCCTGAACCCCAACAAAAAGCCTGTCGCGCTCAAGTGAGCCCCAAAAGATTTGTTTTTGCCCGAATCGCTCAAAAATTGTGGGGAATCAACAGACCCAGAGGGCCACGGTGTCTCATCTGAGAAGCGGAAAAGGAAAATGTGTTTGTGGCGTGGTCACAGTTCAGTAACGTTTTCCACACACAGACATAAATAGTGGTAGCAGGGGGCATCTCTCATTGCATGATGGGATAGTGATTGCACAATATTGGATAAGGCAGGTTTTGTGCCACAATGAAAAGGAAGGAAATGAGGGAGAAGAGTTGTGTGGGTGCTGTGTACTTCAAATGGTTCAAGGTCATATAAGGTCTAATCTAAGAGTCACTGACCACGTTCATATTTCATCAAGCATACGACAAAACAATTAGACTCAGAGTGACTTCATCTAAACACAGACAGACTGGTAAGAAAAAAGAATAAATACTGTACTTTAGTGAGTCAAAATTATTCACAAAATGTATATATTCATGTACGTCACAACAAAAGCACAATATCAGATTCTGTCACTGTTTATAAACATTGATCAGAGCCATGGACATGAGGTTAGTGCACATCTGGACCAGTGTTATTATTGTTATAATTTTCATTAATTGAAATAAATTAAATTTAAAATATAAATATTAGATGAAAAGCTTAAAAATTAGAAATGTCATCTTGGCAACTAACTGAAATAAGAAAAGAAAAAAATACAAAGAAGCTGAAATGCTATTTATAAAACCATATAAAATTACTAAAACTAAAAAGAACACTGAACATATAAAACATAAATGCTAAAAGCTAATTCAAGATATTATTAAATACTATAATGGTCTACTAAAAGGCGCTCATGTGGAACACACGGGTTCCAACTGCTGTGTAGATGCAAAATAAAAGTACACAATCCCGATTACATATTTGTTGGCATTTGCAGAATTTATTAGTATTGTAGTATTCATTAGTGGTTTAATATAATCTGTACAGTGCATCTCTCTCTATGTGTTCTCTACAATCAGAGCTGTCTGCAAAGGCTGAATGTTCTCATGCACGCTCGCTCTCATACACCAATGCACATCCATTCCCTGGTCACACATCTAAGGCCAGGTGCTGTGCGGAAAACACATGAATCAAATATTGGCATGTAAAAAAACAAAGTCAAGGCACAGACAAGAAGAGCTGAATCCAGAAAACTGCTAATGGCGCTTGTTCTGTCCCTAAAACTGAAGAATTCCCTTTATAGTTTAATCATTTTGCATCTACTGTACGGGACAGGCTTCAAACGTACATCTTTTGTGCCAGTAAAAAATTAAATGAAAGAAAAAGAAAACTCCCGTTAAACAAAAACAATCCCTAAATTCAATTTGAAGAGAGGATATAATATTGCACCCATTCCTATCAGGGAAAATATCAAAGCTATGGCAAGACGACACCGTTTAAATACAAAGAGCCATTTAATATTAGTTTTAATGTACATAAACTCATGACCGTCTAAATGTTCTGACATTAGCCTGCTCTTGTAATGTCTTTATCTCGAAGACATTATAGTAGGTTCCAGGCCTTACACATCTTCAGTCAGTTCTCGCATTGAATGCTTTATTTGCAATCAATGAATACAAGAAACTTAAGCCTCTATTCTGCACATTGGAAGTCCAATCAAAAACACCTTAATCTGGTCATTTCTGTGACAATAGTAAACTAATTGTTTCCAAAGCTGCCACACAACCGTCATTCTTTAAGGTATTAAAATATAATCTACATCTTGGCTGTAACAGACTAAAGCTGGAGTATTGTCTAGTGTACAATTACTATGCATTAAATATTTAACAAGGGCAGTAACTGGATTCCCTGTATTGAGAACGCCCAAAAACAAATTCCCTCATTATGATCTGCACTCACATGAACCCTTGACCCATCTGTGAGAATATTAATTTATCTTCTCACAGATATTAAAGGGATAGTTCACCCTAAATGAAATTTCCGTCATCAATTATTCAACATCATGTATGTAAACACAACAGAATATATTTTGAAGATTGTTGGTAAACAAGTATCATCTTTTGTGTCCCACAGAAGAAAGTAACTCATACAGGTTTGTAACATAATAATGACAGAAATTTCATTTTTGGGTGGACTATCCCTTGACAAATTATGACAGCAATATTCAAGCATAGTTAGTGTTTCAATTTCCTTTAACTTTGCAGCAATTTAAGAAATATCCACACAGTCAAATTCAAAAATAAGATAAATAATACTTTAGATCTGTTGTAAAGGCAATTCAAATATTGAGACAGGAAGTTAGTGTGACAAGATAATAAAGCGCGTGGACAAAATGTGATTTGGTGTCCTTAATGTGTTCAGTTAGTACACAGGAAGACATGGACACCATATCACACAGGCACGGGTTGGTTTAGCAGGTGCACCTCTCAGAGATGTGTATGTGTCAGTCCAAGTGTCTGTGTTAAAAGAACAATATACCCAACTATTGGAGATGTGCAAGCGTAGTCTAGACGCTCTGATGGTGGCAAATCATCAGGACGTGGGCCGTACGCTGATGCGTTGGCTTTCTCAGGCTTGGTTGGTGGCGATGAGATTTTTCAGCTGTTTGACAACAGTGTCTATAAGCTTCTGCTTGTCCCGTTCGTTTTTACGGAACTGAGCGAACATGTTGTTCTTGCGGCTGGTGTCCTTCATCCTGCACACAATGAATGAAGCATATTAGATCATTAGATTACAAAAACAAAAAAAAGGACACTTTGATAGTTTAGACTTATGTACTGAAGCCTCAGTGTGAAATGCTCATAAATGAGAAGAACGAGAGAGCAAACAGAGAATGAAAAGTAGCCAACAACCTTTCCAAATTCGTCATTCATATGAAAACTAGCCAAGGAATAAGAAGAGACAGGGTGGCCACTTAAACTCAAATGTAATGTTGGTCACAGGGTGCTGTATCATTAAAGAGCTCAAGGAAGGACGCAGACTTTAACTGAGACTACTTTTGTGTGGTCAAGAAAGACATTCCAAATGGTGCAGGAACCTTGGAGCAGACTTGCATGGAGGTTCTAATGATCCTGCTCACCTTCCTGCCGCTTGTGCCAAACGCTCATTCTCAGTAGCCTGGAGATCACCGAGCCAATGCATGCACATTCCTCTCATTCGCAACCATCCAAACCGTGGCAAAGCTAGGCACCAGGGTTTGACAAAATACTGAAGCGACCCATCATCATTAAGTCATTGAAAAAACACATTCTTTTATTCTGCATAGTATGTAGTCCTCTGCTTTTAAAGAGGCATATCATGAAAAATAGGATTTTCCTTGCTTGTTTGATACTGAAAAAAAGCAAATCAATGAAAACAAAATGTACTGTACACAGACATCATTTACAATACTGTTCAAAAGATTGTTTTATGCTTTTAAAAGTCTCTTATGCTAACCAAGGCTAATATCATCCATTTAAAATAGATTTTAATACATTTTAAAATGTAATTTATTCCTATGATGGCAAAGTTGAATTTTCAGCAGCCATTACTTCAGTCTTCAGTGTTACATGATCCTTCAAAAATCATTCTAATATACTGATTTGCTCAATAATCATTCCTTACTTATTAATTTTGAAAACTGCTTAATAGGGGTGGGAATTTTAAGGCACATCACTATCTAATCCGATTCCAAAATTATTATTTTTATTATTAATTAATTAATTAATTAATTAATTTACCAGCTTGAAAGTCTAAATATCTTTTTATTTAATTACATTTTTAATATTGTGAAAGTAAGGGTCACTCTGTTACAGAAGCAATTTCATGATCACCACCAGCCACAAATCCAATCGCTCTTTTTCTATCAACTCATCCTGCGAGTCTTATTCACTAAAAGTTATTAGGCAAGATAGCCATCACCACGGACACATGACTGTATTGCCATAGTGTGCATCACTGCTTTTTTACAGAGAGCCGCCTCTGATTACCATGGTGATAAGAATCACCACCGCCTAGTGAGGAATGCTTGCTTTGTTGAGCATGAGAGTTTGTGACTCGCTTCTGGAGTTCAACAAACAAGTGAAGATGGAGGCAGGCAGAGTATTAGAGAAGTGATTCTCAACTGGATTTGCATCAAGCTAGGATTTTACACAGGAGATTAGCTATCGACCTGACCAAAAAGCTAAATAATTTATTGTAAACTAAAATTATTAAAACAACAGACTGCTCTCAGTTGCATATACACTCATTGCACAAAACTTTGTAGTCGGCACAAACCGTGTTTATTCTAACTGCAACTGAACCCTTATTTTCTTCTACCTTGTGTAAATCTGCTCCATGTTTTTGAAGAACCGTGTGGATAGCTGCTGTGGTGAAACTAGAACTTTTGAAATTGACATTCACAACAGCCTATTCATTATCATATTTAAAAATGTAGTAAAAATTATTTAAAATGCTTAATTTGCATTTTTATTAAGCATTTACAAAACCATATCCAGGTAGAACCCATATTTGTGTTGCTCTAAAGTTAAAGTCCTTTTTTGAGCATTTTTCTTCCCTGCCGTCTATGACCCCATCAGAACATCCTATCTAGATCATTTCTATATTATATTTTTCCTCTTCTTTCTGGATGTACATTTAACCAGTACAATATATTGCCTATCCCTGCAATGAGGTGATACACAACCACATCATTGCTTCCCTGCTTCACTTCCTCAGTTAAGATGCTTCCTCCACTTACAAACAATCATGATTTTATTGGATGAGGTTTTTAAACAAACTAAAACTCATATTCCTATATTTAATCTTCATTTCATTTAAGTACACTCCAATAAGGCAAAACGTTTCTCTTTAACAAACAGGTTGTGCTCTGATTCCACACAGACACAGACGCACACACACACACACACACACACACACACACACACACAATTCATGCTTAGTAGCTTACTCTGGGCAGGCTAAATAATACAGATCACTTTCACTGAGAAATAGGGGCAAAAGGGTAATGCTGAGGTAAGCGCAGCTCAACTGGGATCAGGCGGATCCACTGCTGTTTTATATCAAATATACAAGAGGGCAGACAGAGGAGGGAGGAGGGAAGGAAAGAAACCGAGAACGACAGAAGAAAGGTGAAGTGATCGAAGTCTAGCAAACATACACAGACACACGACATTGAGGAATGCATACGTTCTGCAAACATGTACTTTTTAATAAACAACATGCAAACACTAACATACACTCACTCTTGTACATAACGTACAGCAAAATCGTTAAGTGAACCAAACCCTGCAAACATACACTGATTACACACTGATCATTTGAGTGATTATTAAAATTTGTAAGAAATGTCCAGGTCGTATTTTACCCCAAAATTAAAAGAAACAAAACGTATATAATCTAGTACTATTATTATGTGTGTGCGTGTGTGTGGTTCAGGTATTCCCTGTTATGGGGAAAAGGCCCTAGCAAAGATGGCAATATCTGAAGTCCTTATGGGCACATTTTTTGGTCCCCATGAGGAAAACCACTTATACGAAGTGATGATTTTTGAAAATCTTGGGTAAATCGTGGGTAGGTTTAGGGTTTGGGGATCGATTATACTGTACAGTTTATACAGTATAAAATCATTTTGCCTATCCAATGTACCCACAAAACACAAAAAAACCATTTATTTTCATGTAAAATATAATTTCATAATCTTAGTTTGGGAGGTGAAATATAACCTGAAAATTTCATTAAAATCACCAATGTAAGGGCACATGAACAAAATGCAGAATACTTACGATCGAGAAATCCTACTCATGAGTAACATATAAGATAATGAGAGAAAGAGAAAAAAACCTGTTTGCATCTGATCAGATGTCTTAAAGTAAGTGCATGTGGTTTGATGAGCGAGAGATCAGTGTGAGACTCACTTCTCTAGGAGGGCCAGAGCCGTGTGAGGATTGACTCGCAGGTACTTGCAGGTGGGTCGGCCGTAGTCGGCCAGATACGTGGACCAGTCCCACTGAGTGAAGAGATCCAGTAACTAAAACCAGGATGGTAGTGGTGGTGGTGCGGGAAAGACAAGACAAAGAGAGATCATTAAAGTTCATTAAACACCAACACTGGCCCTTGTTAGATCAGGCCAGTTCACTTCTCCCAATGTTACATAAGTGAGCAGGGCCTCTTAAATGAGATTATAGAGGAGACACAGGGGAAAGCAACATGACAAAGCAGGGGATTAGAGGAGAATGGAGAGAGGTTAAAGAGAGAACAGCCATTTACACTCTTTCACCCTGAATGCAGGGCTCTTTCTGACCCGGACCTGACCCGATAATGGGCCGGTAATGACCCGTGATTGACCCGGCCAGCTACTGACCTTGCTGGAGCCTGGCCAAAAATGCACCCCTCAGCACTGGCTCAATAAACAACAGAGCACATTCCTCCCTCCCAAACAAACCCACTCGCACAAACACACACACATTTAGACGCGGATTCGGTGCTGGGAATGCAAACAAACATGTCATCTAAACTTGCCAACAGAAAGAAAAAAGAAAATGAATACACAACAACCTCTGTATTCAACCGTAAACACACATAAAGGACACATGAAACCCTATATGCCTATGTGAAACCATAAGGGAAAAGCATCCAGGACAGCAAGAAATGTCTTTAAGTGTGTTAAATGCACTGTTATTGAGGTTTTTATGAAGTCGAGCTAAGTCTTAATCCGTCTTTCCAAGTAAGTATAAAATGAATATTAAATACATGTCAGATGTGTGCACATGTGCAAATAAGTGCACAGAGCTGAGGCCAAATGAAGTGCATGCTGGATGAAGCCATGCTATAGACCATTTCACAAGACTACACTGGTCCAGAAGCACTTCCTGTTTCAGTTTTTTAACACTACATAAAAGCTGGGATAAAATACAACCAACAGAACATTTAAAACTGAATCAAAAAGTTCAACAAACATCTTTAAGATGTTTTCTTTACATGTGAAATAAAGAAAACAGTTACAAACTGAAACAGGAAGTGTTTCTGGACCAGTGTTGTTTACATCTTGTGAAATGGTCTATAAATGCATTATCAAGTTCCACTAAAGGTTTCGAACAAAATTTCAATGGCAAAAAAGGACCATTGTCTATTGTCAGAAGCAAAGCGGTATATAAAGCACAAATCATACGAATCAAAAAACTTTCTGTTAGGTCAATCTGCATGACCAACTTGAACCCATAGCGCAATCTGCATGGAGAATTCACGATTGTGTGGATGGAAATGACTGATTTTGACCTGCAAAAATTCAGTGAACAACAGTAAATGTGACCGCAAAGAAGAAAAGACCCGTGGTCAGACTAAAGCATTTACATGAGCAAGTATTGTTTTAGTCCAACTGGGATCAAAAATTTAATAAACAACAAATTCAACCACCTGTATTTTCAAACAAAACTTCTCATGAAACACACACACCCTGTGCGATTGGCAGATAAGCACCTGTGTGAGATAAGTGATTTTTGAATTTGCATTCATATCTTATCTTGTTTTTTCCTTTCACTTCTCTTCTTCCCGCTAGCATGGTCTATACAGACCCACCAAGGGAGGAAGGCTGAGGAGAGGAGAGAGGGAAATAGAGGCCAGGTTTTGCCGCTGTCATTTGTAATCTGAATGCACTTGCATTCCACATAGCGCGAGCTAGTGTGTCAAACTCGTCCATGACCTGGGTTTCACCTTTCCGCTCGGTCTCTCCACTCCGCCTTCACCTCCCAATGAACTTCCACTCGGTCTCTCTCTTTGACCTCGGCGTGACCCCCGACAGTGTTATCGGCCCCTTTCTGAACAAACAGAGGGCCACGCTAGAGAGGAGCTGGGGCATGGGGGCGTGCGGGCGCTGGATTATCACTTCCTCTCATTCTTCTAAAAGAAAGAATGATGGAGAGAAAGGGAGCGAAAAAAGAAAACATGACGTTGCACATTGATGTGTTGCTCTCGTTTCCCTCACAGCCTTCACACTCTCTCCTCTCTGGGCCGTTTGGATAAGGGCTTATAACAGTTATTCTGACCGTCGTACTTGTTTGTTTGGAACGCAGCAGGAATAACTATTCTCGTTAATAGCCTGGGGGTGTTGGGAATTGACTGCCGTGTTATTCTTTTCTCCCCTTAGACTTGTTGCACTTTCTGGCAGCGTTCTGGAAAAACAAGGTTTGATTTGCCACTTTACCCGTGCAATAAATCTTAAAATCCTCTGGTGGGGAGTTTTGTTATGTAATGATCTAGTTACCTATGCCCTAGTAATCTAGTAGCCATCTACAAACGGCTTGTGAATTACCAGCCTATGGAGTATAATTATTCATTATGACTTCATGAAGTCGGTGCAAATGAGCTACTATGTAAAACTAAGATGAAAGGATAACGTTGTTAACCTCCAAGTCGGTTAGTTTTTTTTTTGTTCTCTAGTCTCTAGTTTTTGTCTTTGTGCCATCACTGCCACTATTAGTTCATCCATGCCTTCTCCTCACACTCCTTTCCTCGTTAGTTCTCCTCTCACCTCTGGCTGCCCTCTGGCTCTCAGTGTTGTTTAGTGCGTTCTGGAACTGGCCGTCAGCCCCAGAGGCTCATGCAGGCCAAAGTCAGTTGAGCTTAAGCCTGAATAATGATAACATTGATAATAACCAATATAGAAAAGAGAGATCAGCCTAGTAAAGAAAAAAAATAAAAAACAACCCCACTTTGCTAAAACAAACTAGTTGGGAGGAAGAGAGAAAAAGAGGCCAGAGTTAAATAGTTAAATATACAGATTGCCTGACCTATATTCAAACATGCCTATGCAGTTATCTGCTAGAGTACAACCTTGGGTTGCATGTTAATAAAAATGACTTCTAAACATGGGATGAGTCACAATGGGCTGGTATGTGAGTTGTGATTTGAACCGCAGCAAATAAGGCTCAAGTGACCGTCATAAATGTGAACGACGAGCAAATCAGATACAGACACGGCAGCACTAAACCTCCTCTGGGAGATAATATGAACATGAGAGATCCAGAGCACCTTTAAGTGCTCAGTGTTTTCTATGATGTAGTCCGTAAGATGTAGAACAAAGGTCTTATGGGTTTGGAAACAATGACGATTTTCATTTTTGGGTAAAGTAAAAAGTGATAAATTAAACATTCAAAAAGTTTGGATCAGAGCAGATTGTTTGGGCCTATGGTAAATAAAAATACTGGTGAACAATCAGTTGGTGGGCTGCTAACTTCATGGAATGACTAAAATTGTATGATCCCCAATCATCCTGTCTATCATCCCCTAGTCAATCAAGCGGGTGGTTTTGAACCCAACCTTTAAGGTGCCAAGTTAACATGCATTCTGATCCTCATATTACATTCACCCTTTATGATTATTTCTGGATGTTTCTGTAAGAAATCTGTTAAAGGGATAGTTCGCTTTGAAATGAATTTTTGATATGTTTTAGCTTACCTCAAGGGCATCCTAGAGGTTTCCACAGTATTTTCAATTTTGATATTTTTCGGTCAAACCGTTGTTGTCTCTCAGTTATATAATGCAGGTATAGGGGGTCCACCTCAAAGAACATGAACAGAGAAGTCCAACTTAAACATGATTTCATAAATGCAAGTACACATTGATGGCCTAAGACACCAAACAGGCGTTTTTTGTGAGAAACGAACAGTTTTTATATCGTTTTGTAACCACAGCCACGTCCAAGTGATCGGAAGGCATGGGCGCTTCAGTATGCGCGAGTGCCAGAAGTGATCTCTTGCACGTTGTCAGTTGATATATCAAAATTGTCTTTCATTGCAATTTCCTGTATATCTAAATATGTTTAGATCTTCACAGTGAAGGGCAACACTTCTGAAATCTCTGTGTAAACAATGAGTGATGTACACGCGCAAGAGAGATCACTTTCCGGGGCTTTCCGGCACTTGCCGCCGACGCTTGCGCATACTGAAGCGCTCTAGCCCTCAGAGTACTTGGACGTGACTGTGATTACAAGAGGTAAAACGATATAAATACTGTTCGTTTTCTCACACAAACCGCTCGTTTCTGGTCTCAGGCCATCAATGTGTACTTACATTTATGAGTCATTAAATCATGTTTAATTTGGGTGGACCCAGGGTGAACCCCGTAAACCTCCATTATATGACTGACAGACAAGAACGGTTTAATCTAAAAATATCAAAATTGAAAATACTGTGGAAACAAAGACACCTACATCTTGGATGCCCTTGAGGTAAGCTAAAACATATCAAAAATTTATTTCAAAGTGAACTATCCCTTTAACGTTAATGAGAAAAGTCAGGTCTTATCTTGACATTAAACTGCACAAGTAACCAACAGAGGTCTGAATCAAAAACACTTAGCGCAGCTATCCATGGCTCTGGATCATGTGAAAGTAGAGAGAAGAGCGGAAAGAAAAAAAAGGGAAGGAGAAGCAACTAAAACATCATTCAACATCAGTAAAAGTCCAGTGGGAGGAAAATGATAAGCAGTATCAGAGTACTGAAAAAAGGAAAAGTGGCTCCCTGTTTCTCAAGACATATTTCAGTCAGTAGCACACAAGGTCAGAGGTTATCCATAGAGGTTATCCTGGCTTAGACTCCATCTACCCTAAAATGTCCAGCAAACATTAAGCATGAGGCACTCAAACACAAATCTCAGTGTATGCAAACAAACATGCTCTTAACTTCAAGGAAACGTCATGTCAATCAGAAAAGATTACAATGTTGAACGTTTGCTTTCTCTGTCTGTGAAAACAAAACACTTTAAAATGACAAAGTCCTAGAGGCACCAATGCTGGGAATGACAGCAACTGTCAATCAAAACAAGAGAAAGTGGAGAAGAGGAATAAGAGACAAAAAGAAAATAAAGGGGTCCATAATGGAAAAAAGATGATGTGGAGGAGGAAGAGGAAAATGATGGAGAGGGAAAGGAAGAGGAGGCAGTAGAGAGAGACTCCCTCTTCTTCTCCTGCTCTCCCTTTGCTGCCTCAGATTGTTGTGCAGGTCTCAAATGAGTCAAAACGAGGGAATAAAA